TGCTCCCACCAAAGGTGGCATAACCTCACCTACTGCAATGGAAACACTGATTACTGAAAACAGCTTCTTTAAATCTTAAACAAGGGGTTAATGAACCAAAGTATTTAAAAGTTCATGGGACAGAAGACTCCCCAAGAGAGGATGGAAGGATATGAGGTAAAGCTGAATACATTTGGTACACAAGGCAGCCAATGAGGAACACACAGTTTAAATTTACAAGTACTAATCTCAAAAGCAATGCCCAAGAGCAGCATGTACAGGACAATTAACAGGAGCATGTTCCTTCTATGCTACTATTAGTGAATATAAGGCTCCACTGCTGTAAGGAAGCTGTGCAAAAAAGGGATGGGTGCCTGCAAATCTCTGTAATTCAGAGACTGTCCTTTTTTATTTGACTATTCACTATTATTTGATTCTTGTTGGATTTTGTCATTCTGTTATTAAAGCTGTTTCAGAAAAACCTGGAGATAAGAATTATTCAAAATAAGGAAATTTATGTTGCAATGAATTCTTGTTCAGCACTGACACGTCGCTGACCCTGCATTCTGAGCTTTTTATTCCAGTAACTGAACAGCACATGAGTCTCCAGCACAAGAAGCAAAGTATTTTTCCATTTCACTCTAGAGATAATAATTACTGGAAAATTACATTAAAGCGAATAGTTATATAAATGAATGTCTCCTCTTTTCCTTTTTAAGTGTGATATGTCGATTCTTTTCTTTAAAAGAAACAGATTCCCTCTTCTCTTGGTACTACCCATGTTTCTCCTGCCACAAGATTGCACACAGGGAAAGAAGGCTCCTATTTCAGTCACTCCCTACATGCCACGGGTTTTCAGCTAGAAAAAGAATTACAAGATTTATGCCTTAAAATCTGCAAAAATTATTCTGAATTTCAGTGAGTGCAACTGCTACCAGTGTAAGTACATTGTGTCAAACAAAATGGGATTATTCAGCCCTACCATTCCCTGTGCAACTGACTCCCTGAACATCGAACAACTATGATCCCATTTAAAATGGAATCAGTGGATGACTTTAAAAAGTCCCCTCCAAAAACTATCTCGGCTCTCACAATACAGGAAGCAATTACTTACATTGTTACCTGTAATTAGGAAGGTGTTGTTCAAAGATTACAGGCAATAGATGGGACTCGTGGCTACTCACCCACAGTGTACCAGCTCGCATCCGTCAGCTTGCTGATCACGGCTTCCTGGAAGGATCCATCGGGCATTTTGGTTTCAACCATTGCACCAACCTGCAAAAAGGAACAGCTCAAGGTTACCTGTGAGCCCAAAATCACCATGCAGGAAAGATTTACTGCTTAAAAACACTCATTTTAGCTTACTGCCACTTTCAAAGTTTAGTCACTTAGAAGGTAAGAACAAAAGTATGAAGGCTGAACTGCAAGTAGACACTAAAGCAGTAGGAAACTCAGACCATCTCATTTCCCCATGACTTACATCATCATAAGAAGTAACAGGAGGCTAACTGAAAACAAACATTCAAAGTAATTAATTTTATTACTGATAAGCATACAATTACTATTATTTTTTATACTTTAAAAACACTGCTAGATCAGAACACACTGGTGTTCTTGCAGGAGCTACAGAGAAAAGACAAATATAAGAAAGATTATCTTCTCTGAAGAGCTCAGTTTGCATTCCATGTTTATAACACAGCTCTGTATTTTAGCACACAACTGCTACATAGCATAAAAGTACAAATAAACACATTTTCATATAAAATACCTCCACTATTCTAAAACACCAAGTAATTGTATTTACTCTTGTCTAACGGGCTTGAACTTGACTTTGCACTCAAGTTCTCCGTCACTTCTAATAAGTTTCAAAGTTTCACTATTTATAAGAAGTTTTGTATCTTATAAGACACAAAAATCACTTCAGGCAAAACTGTTTATCAAGTGCACGACACAGATAAGCATAAATAGCCCATAAAGCTACAACAATTAAGACTAATTCCTCAGAATCCATCTGATGTAAAGGGATGAGGCTCCTTCTGTTGATTGTAATCCTGGAGAACAGGTACCCACCTAAACAGCATCAAAATTACAAATCAATGATGTGATTACCAAAAGAAGCCATGTAATTATTATACATACTCTTAGAGGTCCTTTCACTTGGTCATCTTGCACTAACTGAGTTGAGTTGTCCCCCTTCAAGACCACCTGAAAGATATTAATCAACTTTGTAATGTGCATCTGATTTCTTAACAGCACACAAAAAGCATTTGAAAATGTACTTGTAATAATAAAGATCTAATTTTCCAAATTATGATTATCAATCAACTGGACTCAAACATTATTGAACGGGAAACACTTGGCATGGACCATTTTACTGACAGGAAATCCCAAGTATCACACTTAATATTTATTCTAAAACATCACAGTTAAAAGAACAGAGCAAATCAAACATCAGTCATTCCAAAGCAAAGGAAATATGTTCTTAGATACAAGTTTAAATATTGATGTAATCCAGGGTATACCTGGAATTTGGCTTCCAGATGAGAAGATTTAAGCAGGTGGTTTTTTCCCCTCTCTCTACTTCAGCTGTAGAACTTTATTGACAACACACTGAGTATTAAACTACAACCGAAATAAAACCTCTCTTTACTAAAGATGTACCAACAAATCTCCAAACTGATTGCAATACCAGCATTCCTGCTGCCTTGAACAAGAGGAAGTTTTTATGGTAAAGATGTGAATGAAAATAAGGATCAGTTACAGTCTAATAAACTATGTTTCTCCCCTTAAAATCCTGTGCTCCAGAAGGTAACAGTGGTGAGACAGAGTGAACATAAGTCTGTGTAATTTAATAAAAGAAAAAATCCAAAATTTCTATTTTTAGAAGAACCAAAAGTTCCATAAGCTTCCTTTCCACCCATAAAGATGTCCAGTTTTCTGTCTCCCCCAATATTCCCCCAAGCACAGACTCCACTGTAGCTGTGTTTATAAACACATCACCAGTGCCGCCAAAAGAGCAACAATATTAACACACATTCAGGTTAATAATGCACTTTATGCTGATACACAGTTTTAAATAAAAATGGCATGGAGATGAATACAGGTTGTCCTGCTACTCAGGAAAAGGCTACAGGACTTTTTGGCCTCCCTGCACTCTTGGCAGGCGTGCAGGGTGTGCCTACACACTCTTAATTACAGTATCAGGCTCAGCTTGTTAAAACTTCTATTGTTGTAACTGAGATACAGCGACAGGAATTTCCACCAAGGCACAGCAGCCTCATACACTTCCAAATCTTATCATGGAGTAATAAAGCATCTGATTCCAACAAGAAGAAGAAACTCCTACCTATTAACAGTCTAAATACTCCACCAGACCAAAGACACAGACACAAAATCAAGGTGGTCAGACCAGCACGGTGCTTCCTACAGAGCTTCTCATTAACACAGATTTCAAAGAACACAAGTTTCTCCAAGTACTCATTAAGAACAGGGAAAAGACTCCAACATCTGAATTAGGGTTTTTTTCTATTGATGAAAATCACTCTGATAAAGTGATACGATCTATATTTGTAACTGAAGAGGCTGATGGCTTGTTCTACTTGATTTAAGCATTAAAGCACAGGAAAACTTAGATGTGTAGCTATAAGAAGCAGCTTTCATCTCAATTTGCTATGGGGGTTTGGGTCACTAATGCCTTATTTACATACCTTGGACAGTAGACACTAAAGTAGGAAGTGGGAAGACTTTGACAAAACAAAGCAGAAGAATTTCTATATTTACTTTGAATTCTTCACTTGCATTTAACTATGTTTTACTCTTTTTTTCCTATAGTGGCTTTTACAACAGCACTGCAACAGCAAATTGACAACTTTCTTTTTTGATTTGATTCTTTTTTTTTCGGCAAAAGCCAAATGTACAAATGAGTATTAGATGCCACTACTATCCATGCACAGAAACTCAGCTCCAGCCAGGGCAAGTTGCTTTAGAAGCAGCAGCAAGATGCTCAAAACTTAAAAAATATTACCTCTGACATTGCTAAAACCTGGTCGAAGAAACTAGTTAGTCATCTCTTGTGCTGTTGATTTATTTTGGCATTACCTTTTAAGTTCCAAGCTATAAAACTGAAAGTGTCAGTTGGAATGAAGTGGAACTTTTGTTTTAGAAGAGGTTGCTCTTATTCCTTATTAGTCATGTAAAGCCATAATCCTCTATTTGTGACATCAAAACTTAGTGCTGGGAAACTGATGCATTCAAAAAACAAGACAAATGCAGTCAGGAAAGAAGAAGCAGGAAAGCTCATTTTCGTACCAGCATCTACTAATAATAAAAAATCAAGATCCCCCCCCAAAATAAAGCGAAAAAGACCAAACAAAAATCGCCCCAAACCCAAACAGCAGGATACAAAAAAACCCCATGCAAGTGTTGCTTAAAATTCACACGGTGAGCTGATGAACGTTTCCTAATCTTCAGGACCGGGATCTTTCCTGACAGCCCTTCCAGCACGAGGCTTTAAGGAACTCAGCAGCAATCTCAGCGAACTACCTTGACTTTCACGAGCCTTTTCACCGTCTTAATCTTGGCCTCGCAGAAGGCACCGCGGTACTTGGCACTGACATCAGTCCCCACTGTCAGGTAGGCAGGCTCGTCTGCTGCCTGCAGAGACACAAAACACAAAGTTTAGCCCTTGTTTATACTTTTATATATCTAATCCTGCATCTAGACTTTTGGACTTGTTGGCTTTTAATTGATAAACACTGTTTGGGCTGGGAACTGCCATCACAGAGTTCTTCAAAAATGAAAATCAAAAACCAACAAGCAAGTTACAGGAAGTTTTATCGCTGTTCTTAACACACCCCCCTTCCTTCATTTTCATTGTCACCCTCTCACAGAAATATCCTTGAACTTATTGAACTGCTATTTGGAACATCTCCTTGTAAAAAAGCTAATAAAGGACTATTAATTCAAGTAATTTCTATACAAAACAAAACAATTTCCACTGCAAAATAACCCCAGTATAACAGACAGTTGTACTTTTCCCAGCTATAAGCAATCCAGTGACACAGATTATTTAAAACGTTTGAGATTGGTGTCATCCCAATACTTCCAATTAAGTCTAAAACATTCTATATATAGGATTTCTTTCCTGGTGACTAAAAGGAGACCTCTAGAGAAATCTGTTGCAATCTTTCAAACAGCTATTAAACCCGTATTTTTCTTTCCTGGAATGCCTTTATCAAACCTTAATTACTCATGAGTTTTTAAAGAGAGATATTTGTCATCATGTTTTCCTTAATCTGGACTTTAACACCTTGATACATTTCACTTCACTGCTCATTGCAGCTGATAAACAAGGACAAAATTACCACGTTGAACATGACAGGAAATCAGCACAGAATCTAAAACAGCTGGCTTTATGTGTAGGGTCTTTTTCAACTTGATATTATTTCTTCAACTCTGAAGGCAAATGAAAAAGTTTTTCTCTCTTTAGTAAATTACACTGCAATTGTTGAGCCTTTGTACTGAGCAAACCGGCAGCAGCAAAGGCGGGACAAAAGCTGTGGTTTTGCAAACTTGCCATAGCAGCTGCTGATACAGGAAGCGTTTAAAGACGGGAGCCCAAAGGACAACAACAACAACTCCGAGGCGACGGGGATGTTCCGAGCGCTCCTGCACGGCCGTGAGAGCTCCGAATCACCTGCCCCTCGCCGGGGAGCAGGAACAGCGCTCACGGCACACATCGAAACCCGCGTTATCCCACCGTGAGGAGACTGAGAAGCGACTAAAAATGAAACCTCCAGCGCAGCGGGCGAACAGGGCGGCGATCCCCGCTCCCGCCGGAGCCGCCTACCTTCATCTTCGAGGGCTATGTGAGGGATTCCAGCTCCGGGACTTCTCCTCGCACGGCACAAACACTGCAAAAAAACACGAGCGGGGGAGGTCTGAGGGCTGAGCGCCCGTGAGGGGCGGCGGGGGGAGCCCGGGGGAGGCGGAGGGAGGGAGGCGGAGGGAGGGCCGGGGGGAAGGAGCCGCCGCCCGTCCCGGCCGCGCCGAGGGAGCGCGGCCGCCGCTTCCCGCCGGGCGGCCCCGCGCCCCGTGCGTGTGTCACGGCGCCATTTGCTCCGCGGGGCTCGGGGGCCGCCGGGGCCGCCGCCGCTCCCGCTCCCGCTCCGGCCCCTCGCAACTTTCCGCGGCCCCGCCGGGCCCCCTTCTCCTCTTCCTCCTCTTCCTCCTCCTCCTCCTCCTCCCGGACTTCAGCCTCCCGCCGCAGCCCCCGGCCCGGGGAGCACCGCGCGGGGGGGTCGCGGGAATATCGGGGCAGAGCTGGGGGGTCCCGGTCCCGACGGGGGGGTCCCGGTGCATGAGGGGGCGACGCGCGCGCCCGCGAGCTCCCCGAGGGCGGCGGGCGGGGGGGGAGGGGGGTTTAAAGCGCAGCTCCCGGAGCAGCTCCGCGTCCCCTCCCCCGGGACGGCGGCAGCCGCAACTCCGCCGCCGCCTCCACCAACACCGCCACCTCCTCCTCCCTTCCCTCCTCCTGCTGCTCGCCCGTCCTCTTCCTACCTGTGGACTCGGCAGCCCCCGCGCCGCCCGGGCCCCTCCGCAGTCGGCGGCGGCCCCGGCTGAGCGCGGCCCCCGCTCTGCTCCGCCCCCCCCCCCCCCCCCCCCCCCCCCCCCCCCCCCCCCCCCCCCCCCCCCCCCCCCCCCCCCCCCCCC